ATGTTCATTAAACCGTCGTAAAACCGTCGTAATAGGTCAATATTTATAGCCTCGTACCTCGGATCTGGAGCCAATCCGGCGGCTGTTACATGTATGATCGTCATCAACGTTACGATGGTTAAACGACGGTTGAATGAACATTCGTCGTAAAACCGTCGTAATGTTACGACCCTTATACGACGGTTTTACGATGTTTTTTTTAAAAAGTTATCAAATCCTAAATCTTTCAAAAGGCTTATTGCATAAAGGACAACACAAAGCTTATTTTATACTAACATATAACAATAGGTTCATAACTTTACATGTATGTCAGATTTAGTACATGAGATAACAATATATAATTTAAGTTTTTAATTGATGATTTTTGCGTTTACAATTCAGAAAATATTTAATTAAGTTCTTTTTAGTTTTTGGGAAAACATAACTCTCTTGGGTTTATTAGAATAATTTTTCAAAGTGTATATGCAAATTCTAAACGCTAGCGTAAGCTTTATTTTCTTATGCGTTTGCCATATACAGATTAGCTAATGAATTTCGTAAACAAATATATATAAGGTTATGAATTTGCTTTTAAAAACAAAAACACCCTACTCAGTCTAAGACTATGAAAATCAGACGCAGGTATGAAATCGCACTTTGTCGAGATTAATGTATCATAATGTATCATACCTGTCAAAATTAAGAAAATCACCAAATAGGTGATAAGACCAGTGACACTTACGCCTTTAACCATTTTCACTTTTAATTTCTTTCTCTTTGATGGAATGCTTCACATATAGACACTGTCATCTAATCGTTGTATTGTATATAAAGAATATTTTTTTCTAAAAAAAGAGAAGAAAATGTCGCCCATAAAAATGCCTATAAATTAGTTAGAAATGGATAAAAATAGAATTTGATAGACCATATATTTTTCCCTCATTAATTCCAATTTAATTTTAATTAATATTCCTCTGTTGAAATTAAAAAGATTTCATAGTTTCTCTAAATTTGCATAACTTTGATATAAAAATGTTAGGTGATATAAAATCAACAAAATTCATTTGATAATCTTTTGATTGATGGTGAATAAGATTGCTCGAACCAATTTTTGGCTGTTTAGGTATTTGTTAGTTATAGCATGGCATGTAGATCTTCATATATATATATATATATATATATATATAAGATCTTCCTTACAATCTACCTAGAATCAACCAACAGTAGAACTACTCCATCCAGCGCAAAAAAAAAAAAAAAACATGTGATGAAATTTGCCATTTTTAATTGTAGAAGATCAAAAGAAAATGATAAACTTAGTGAGGGTTATTTTTTCTTCTCTTGCTTTTAGACTCTTGTGAAAATCAAGAAAACAAATAGTATGAGGAAAAAAAACAAAATTGAGACGCTGAGGATTTTTAAGATAAGTTGTAATAAGATAGTAAAGTAATGTGAGATTCAACTTGGATGGTTATTGTGATAATGGGTGACTGTTTGACAGCGAGATGATTAGATGAAACTCGATTCTATTTCTTTATCTTTGCCACTGGATAATCATAGAAAACTATACAAGTTACAGATATTCAATTTCAGGTATCTCTTTATATTTTTCATTGAGAAAATTTATATTGTTTTTCTTAACTGTTTCAAGTTATCACTTTTTGTTTTTGGTATAATGTTGAAATTGCATTAGAAAGAAAAAACATAAGTGGAAAACAAGATGGGTGTATATGTGATGAAGTTAAAAATAAAAAGAATTACAATTAGAATTTGAACATTGATGTTCAATTTCATTTAAGGTTCAGTGTACAAGATATATATAAGAAGTGAAATCTCGAGCACGTATTCATAATAATCTAACTTCCTCTCAATAATTGATAAAATGAGAAATTGTATTCAATATCCATCAATAATTTTATAATTAATAAACTAACCAAAAAAAGTAAACTAGAACCAATATTCTCTGTATATCTGTATATCATGTATTAATACTAATTTTAGTTTTAACCATTCATATTCTCTTTTATCTCTCTATTCTCTCAATATTCTTTTTTTTTCTCCCTTACACATACAACGATGTAGAAATCATTAGTACTGCAAAGTTTCAGTGAAAGTTATTGGGATCTCATTCAATATTCAGGTATCCGATGATAAGATTGAGATTAGATTGTCACCACCTCACTACAAGAAAAAACTCGAATCTCTTTTATATATACTAAGGATTGTTTTGTGCTACGCGTGAATTATTTTTGTAAAATTTTTCTTAATATAAATGGTTTATTATATTTTTGGAAATAAATTAAGAAGCTGATAATACATCAGAAGAAATATGGTCATTTAATTTTTAAAAATGATGTGAAAGAAAAAGTTATTTGTTTTGAAAGATAATAATACATCAAAAGAAATATGGTGATTTAAGTTAAGAATCTTTTGAAAGTTTAAAACTATTAGCTAATCAAAGATTTTTAATGTGTTGAAATCATTGTTTTCATTTGTTAACTACCTTTGAAAACAGTATTTTAATTATGTTTTTGTTCTTAATTGAATTCTTTTTTTCTTCAAATCTCCCAAGTTACACCAATTTACTATATATGTCTTTTTAAAAAATCTCCTAAGTCGTCACACCAATACTCTAATAATATTTATCATTATCTCTATGATTTTTGTATAGTTTTCTTGTTTGGGTGTGGATTTAAATTGGTTCCTTAATTTGTGCACCATCACGTATGGCTCTGTATAAATTTTGGTATACATAATGGATGAAAGATGGTTGTCTTTATATTCATAAAACGAGCATTTTCTCTTCTTAGTATGACAGCCATATAGATAGTGTTTTGTTTCTCTTCTTAGTTCCAGTTGAACGTCTTAGTCTTTTATTAGAGGAATAATATGAAACATTCATTTGAAGAATTTTTTATTCTCTCGTATACTTCTTCATTCTCTCGTATCTCTCGCGGGTCCCTCACCTTTTAATGAAGAATAACGTAAAACACTCCTTTGAGGAATTATTTATTTTCTCGTCTACTCTTCATTCTCTCGTATCTTTCGCGGGTCTCTCACCTTTTAATGAGCTTGGAAATCTCCAATTAGTCCTTATAATTTTCTATAGAAAAAAATAGAAATAGAAATTCGGCCAATGATAATTTAGCGTAGGTGAACCAATCAAGAGCGGCGATACAAATTTAGGCCAATGAGATATAAGCACAACTAGCCAATCAGAAACGATCGTCTCAAAAATTGACCTATCAGGAGCGTGGAAACAAATATTAGGCGCCAAAAATTTATCCAATCAGGAACAAGCTTTGTCGAGAGGACCATCTTGAAACCATCTTTGACCAGCTTTCTCTCCCAGCGATCGCGACATAGAGAACAAGAGAATGAGAGATCGTCGAGTCCTTCTTGACATGTTTCTGCATTGATCCGACATTGAAGGCTAATTGAGGTAATTGACATTTATGTGGTTGGATTTTCTTCCTTCATTCTGATTTTGGGAAGTCGTTGCCCTAGAACCACTATTGGAGATTAAATTCGATTATTGAATAGGGAATTGTAGACTATGAAATTGGTGGTTGGTTGCTAATCGGACGGATATTTAGTGGATTGGAGGTTTAAATGTTATACCGCAGTAAATGGGAGTTATATTAGAGTTTTTTCCCCAAGTTGACTAATTATGAGGACGAGAGAGAGTAAAAATTGGTATCACTTGCGTACAACTGAAAACAATTGGAAACATGGTATCATTTGCGTACAACTGGAAACTCCACTTTATGCAACTGAGTATGGTGTATCTGTTATTTTTTCAGGTGATAATGATTACGAACATATTTTTTGATTATGGGGGATATTTTTCAACTTCGTAGGATAAATGGATTTCAGCACCAGCTTCCATGTATGGTGTAATGTTTAAGTCATCAATTTTGGGGGAGATTACTTATTTTGGTTTAGTGGATAAGATATACACGAAGGTTGGGATTGTCGAATCTTCGAGTAAGCTGAAACTGAGTTACATTCTGGTACTAGTGCAAACTAAGAAACAATTCTATATTTCGAATAACGATGACCTAGCTGTGTTCCTGACCTCATTGGATAAAGAGGGACTCAGAAGTATTATTCATGTAGAGGTCCTCAAATGTGTTAAAGTTGGTGAGGAATTTTCTAGAGTTGAGAGGGTAAGTTCAGTTGGTATCAATTACGGAGGGTTGCATTTAGGTAATGGTGGATTAAATAATGGTGTACTTGCAATTTACACAGGCAACTGTTCAGCAGAATAACATAAACAAAATGTCCCGGTGATAGAGGAAGTTGTTGATGATGATGTTGACGAGGGAAAAGATGGTGATGATGTAACACGTGAAAATGGAAAATGTGGTGATAATGTATCATGTGACAATGGAGTAGATGGTGATGATGTATCACGTGACAATGGAGTTAATGATAGTAAATAAAACTTTGATAACGAGGAGGAAGAATACAGACGGTTTGATTTTGATGATGGTCTCCGTGCTGAAGTAGAAACACAACATTTTGAATAGGATGATGGTATGAATCTGAGAGTAGGGCAACAATTTGCATGTAAATAGATTTGATAGATTTATTGTATAGAGCTTCGCATCAGAATTGTTTTGGTCTGAATAAAGAATTCAGATAAGAAGCAATACGTGGTGAAATGCGGTGAAACGGGTTGTAATTGTTATTTACGAGCTTGGAAGGATGCGAATACACCCTGTTTTTCTGTGACAGTATACCGGAAGATGCATAGTTGTTCTCGGGCCAGTGGGAGTACAAACAGCAAACAAAGGAAAGGAACACCAGAATTAGTTGCATATGTTGTTAAGGAAGTGTATCCAGGTCAATTAGATACAACAACTCCTCACGCTGTCATGGTTATGTGTCATACTCTACCGTATGGAGAGGAATACAGCAAGCTAAATCTCTGATTTGTGGTTATCCTGAAGACAGCTATAGAGATCTGTACACGTATTTGTACATGCTAGGGCAGGTGAATCAAGGTACAAAACACAATGTGTGACTGGACGGACAACGAAGATTCAAATTCTTATTTGTCGCTTTGGGAGCTTGCATTGACGGGTTTTGTAGCAATGAGAAATGTGGTAACAGTTGATGCAAATTTTTTGAAAGCCAGAATGGGTTGTCAGCTAATCTTTGCTGCTTGTCAGGATGGTAATTGTCACCATTATCCGATTGCTTTTGGAGTAATTGATGCAGAAAAAAAAATGTCAATTAGGAGTGGTTTTTCAGGGAGTTGAAAACTGTTGTACCAGATAGTCCTAAATTGATTATTGTTTCTGACAGAAATGCAAGTCTCATCAATGCAGTAGTTGAGGTGTACACGGAAGCTAAAGATGGGTACAGCATCTAGCATCTGAGCCAGAATGTGAAATTGCAAGTTTCAAGGGATAGAGAAATAGTTGCAGACACATTCATGGAGTGCGCAAGACAATATACAGAGGCCGAGTTTCTTGATCATTATACAAGGATGGCATTAAAGTATCCTAATGTGACCGAGTATCTAGAAAGACGTGTAGAAGTATCAAAATGGGCCATGTGCTATTTTCCAGGAGATAGGTACAACCTAGAGACTAGTAACGTTGTGGAGTCCTTGAATAGTGTATTTAAGGATGCAAGGAAGCTATGCTTATTACCTTTGATGAATGAGATTGTTGTGAAGTTGTGTGAGTGGTTTAACAATCATAGGAACGAGGCTGCTTCTATGCCACCAGGATGTAAACTGGTGGCCTTTGTCGAGAATATATTTCACAGTAGATGTGCTGAAGCAAAGAGGCTAACTGTCACCGAGTTAAACATCAGTCAGATTGAATACAGTATAATTGGAAACGATGGGATGAATTACACGGTGAACTTGAAAAGTAAAACTTGCTCGTGCAAGTGTTTTGATATAGACAAGTATCCGTGTGTCCATACCTTAGCCGCACTAGAGCATTACATGAAGCGGCTAGACAGAGAAGAGGATATAAATGTAGAAGACTTGTGTTTGATGTATTATTTAACCGAGCAGTGGGTGTTTGCTTTTAACAGAACGATCTATCCAATCCCACACAAGTCACACTGGATTGTCTCCAATGATATAAGGCAATAGAGTGCTTTTCCCTCGGAACACGAAAAAAAAATAGGAGGGCAAAGCAGCAGAAAAAGCATCCCATCTGTTGGAGAGCGTCGACCGAAGTCGAAGAAGGCGAAGACGAGTAATAAGCGTCGCCCTGAATCTTATGGAATTTATTCGTATTTTATTGCAGGTCAAAATGTTGGAGCTGAAAGCTGCAGGTGCCTCTGAAAGTACTGCAGGTGCTTCTGAAAGTACTGTAGGTGATAACGTGGTTTAGTTACTCTGAACTATTGTATTTGGAAATATGATGTTTTAGTCGGCATTACTTGGTACAACAACAGTCGACTATTGTATTTGGAAATGCGATGTTTTACTCAGCATTACTTGGTACAACTACAATAACTATTGTTTTTGAAAATTTTATTGTTTTACTCGGAATTACTTGGTACAACAACAGTCGACTATTGTATTTGGAAATGTTATGTTTTAATCAGAATTACTTGGTACAACAGGCGATTATTTTTGAAATTTTTATTGTTTTACTTGGAATTACTTGGTAAAAGTGAAAATAAGAATACAAACGACGTGTCGTTTTGTTTTCCAACGGCGATTCGAAGAGTTGTGTCCTCTTTTATTTAACATAGACCCAAGAAGTATCTGAAACACATTTCCTCTCCTATGTCAAAGCAAATAGGGATTTCTGATTTGCCAATCGAGATGAAAACCGAAATACTAAAGAAGATAATCAGTAATTCCTTACGAGATTACTGTTCTGCTAAAGTGGCCCTTAGGGATTTTAACGAAATCTCCAAGGATCCAATCTTCCTACGAAGCGTGGATCTGTTAATCGTGCCCACACCTTGGGTCTCTGATATGGCATAGATTAGAATATTTAAAAATGTCTTTCAAATATTTTCAATGAACTTAATGTCATTGTTCTTCTCTATTGTTTTCTCTCTCAAATATTTGATGTTCTTTGATGTTCTCAGAAGTTCAATGTAAAATCAAAGTGTTTGTTCTTACTTAGACTATTTATTTTCTTGCAGATTATTTGTAAACAATGCTAAAAAATAAAATAAAACGATGTCTAGCTTTTAAGTGTATCAACAATGTAAATGTTTAGTTTTGCTCATGAAAACTTGGTATAACTACGCTCTAGTTATAATGTTTAGTACGGACCTTTGTTATTCTGTCAAACATAAATAATTATGAAATGGGGAGGAGAGGCAAGAGCGAGAATATTGTGTAAAAGAAAAGTGAAACTAAACCAAGTCACACTTTAAGGTCAGAGAATGTCATCTAAAAGTTAAAAACCCGATTTTCATGTGACGTTGTTTTACACGAGGTTAACCACCTCTTAACCACCAATATACCCATTAAACCGATTTTATAATTTGAAGATGTCAAAATACGACCACGATAATAATCAGCATTTGAAAATATGGTCGTTTTCATGCTACTACTTATCAGGGACTACGAACCATTGTTTTAAAATATTGAAAATGATGAACAAATAATATGAATCTCATCACACCCGACCCATAAGTGTCTTATGCTTCTATAGTCACTTTTGTCAAGATTAGGCCATCAATGATAGAAAGAATATGTCTCATAATTTTCCTCGGATTTTTTTTGGATGAACACATTGATAAATTGATTTTATAACCAATAATGAAGCGTATAACCAGAGTATTTTATTTACAATTCAATATTTCTACGAATAAGGTATATCCACTAAAAGTATAACTATGTGGATGATAAGTATAACTGAAAATACAGGCACAACTACGTTTTAAATTCTCAGTGGCAATAAACGACATGTGTCCATAATAAAACAAACTCTTATTATGATAGACATGTGTTATTCACCTGAACACGTGTCTTATTGGCTGGAACAAATAGACCCCACCACAATTATTTATTATTTATCAGGTTTATCAATGAACCTTAAATTTGTGTTCTCTCCCCAAATCAGACATTTCCAAATTTGAATTCTCCCCATACATCAAACTAGGTGGGCATCCGCGCGATGCGCGGGTTTGCGAAGTTCATAAAGCTGAGTACTTAATTTTTTTTTATAATATCAAAACGCTAATATATTATAGAAACTTTTAATTTTGGAAGAGCATTCATAGTCATCAAATTGGTTAGTTGGATAATTGTATTTTTTTTTAAAATTCATTAATTCTGCAAACACCATTATTGTTTTGTATTCTATTTGTTTTATGTTTGATTCTCAACAATGATGACAATCATTAATAGGAAAATGATAAGTAAACTAAAATGTCATTTAATAAATAATTAAATAAACCATTTAAATAGTAAAACTCTAAACCTTAAAAAAAAAACTATTGAATTCTTTACATTCTGAAAGACGGTTTTGTATACAACGTTCAAAGTCTTGGTTTGTGGCTAACCCATTGTATCCGTTATCAAAATCTTCAAACCAGCTCTTGAAGTAACACGTGATATAGCCACATAAAGTTGTCCATGGGAAAATACTGGTTTTGGTAAATACAGGCCAACCTTTTGCAAAGTCTATCCTTGACTTTTATTGATAGTAATTGCATAGGCGATAGCTACGGAAATTGTCTACACCTCATTCTAAAAGGAAATCTTGTCTCTGTGGGGGAAAAAAACATTTGTGGGATCAAGACCTTTTGACTAATATATTCTCCAGTTATGTGGCTAACTTGAATAACATGTTTGGCCAACTGTGTTACCAAGAGTCTTGTTCCATTGCATAAACCACCTCTAGGGTCAATATTCCGAAGCAACATAATAGGTGTCCCTATTTTCAATTTCAATTCATGGTTTGGCAATCCTGAAATCTTAATACTATTAAGATATTCCTGTGTGTAAACTTTCTCATCAATCTTGCCCTTATCAGAAGTATCGATGTTGTCCGAGCTTAAATATGTATGTTCCTCAGCTAGAAAAATGTTTTACGAAGTTCAGTTGATCACATTATGAAGCTAATGTGTAAGATCGTATGTATAAAGCGTTAAATATGTTTACCTTTTATTTCTGACAACATGTATTCATTTATTAATCCCACGTCAGCATTTCTCGGGCTAAGAATTGCTCTATCTTGAAAAAATTTTGGATCTCTTTCCGATCTGTATAAATTACCATACACTTCTCTTACTATCTCTTTAACAGGATCAGCACATTTTTTTATTAGTAAATCGCCAGGGATTTCAATCTCAGCTTCATCGTTGTCAGTCGAAATAATTTTGCCATCTCCTACATCTAAAATCCACTTTGAAAAGGCTTCTAGCTCATTAACGCGATCACCTCCAGCACCATTTTGAAGCCTCATATTCTTGGTTAGTTCTAAAACTGTACAACTGTCCCATAAAATAGAAGAATTTATGGTAGCCATCAGAGTTTGAGTGTTATTACCTCCTACAATAACAGGCAATATTTGCCTGAAATCTCCTTCGAATACAATGACTTTCCCACCAAAAACGTCATCATTTTTTAGTATATCATGCATACTTCTATCCAGAAATCAATGTTGTAAACTAAAATTAAAAATAATTAAAAACAATTATTTAATATATACATAATAAAATAAAACAAATCCAAAAGGGAAACACCATCTAAAATTAAAAAAAAAATATTTACTATTGAACTCACAAATTAATTGAATTAAGAAAAAAACGAGTTTTTT